AAATATACCGAGGTTTGAACTTGTATCGCAATCATGCATTAGAAAGTTAAATATATATAAACATGTACATGAATATATTGAACATTTGTATACATATATATTTACGTATACGAGGGATTTCCTTTATTGAATGAACGCTTTTAGAAAAGCGAAAAGACTCAAATAAGCTTTTCTATGTGCCGTGTCCCTTTATAACGTGGGCGACCATGACTCTCCATAATTTAATGCCATTTGCAGTTCTCAAGATCGCTAGGTAGGTTATGAATTGTTTTCTTTTGTTCATCTTGCCTGGAATGCACTGTGTGTATCAGATTTTCTAAACCCTCTTTCCTCATTATGTACCATAGAAAATTCACTTGTCTTTTTGTGATGTCAAATATAAGAGTCCTTTTTGTTTCCATTTTTTTCCCGAAAACTTCGCCGTTTCTCCCATGATCAGTCCATGCATCCTTCTCTAGAACCCCATTTCTTTTGATTCAGGTCTTTTTTCCTTCATCTGTAAGGAGATTGACCGATATTCACTGTCATATAAATGGGCTGATATTATTAGGTTGGTGCAAAAATAATGACGTAATAATGTCGTTTTTTGACGTTAAAAAATACGTTAAAAACGACATTATTACGTCATTATTTTTGCACCAACCTAATACGTAACAGTTTAGTGCTTTTTTTCTTTGCTGTTTATGAAATTTTCCTATTTCTTAATACTTTGCTTATCCTTTGGAAGGCATATTTTGCTATCCCAATGTGTCTTCGGATTTTAGTGTCGCACTTTCCATCCTCTGTTAAAATGACTTCCCAGATATTTAAATTCTTGTACGTATTTGATTTTGTTATCGCCAAATTTGTAATTTGCATGTTGGACTATTCCTTTTACTGACAACCATGCATTATGTTTTCTTTCAATTAAGCTTTAGTCCTTTCTTCTCGCTTTCTTTTACTACCTTTTGTAGGAATCCGAGTAGTTTCCATTCTGTATCTGCTATCTGCATCACTGTATCATCTGCATAGCTTACATTGTTAAGATTGTGGCCGCCAATAATAAATACTGGTAGGATTTCTAATTTTCTCAAAATTGCCTAAATGTATAGGTTGAATAAGTCCGGTGAGAAGATTCACCCTTGTCTTACACCCCTTTCTATTTTTTGTATATTTAGTAGATTAATTTTCTAACCTTATGCAGGAGGTTTACTGTTAGTATCGTTCTGGATTATTCTAATATCCTTCCTAAATAAGTCATGGTTACCGATCACTTACAACAGTTCTTTTTTTTTACGTACTTTATCAAACGCATTTACATTATTTATAAAACATAGGTTCCCGTCCTTGGTATGACGATAAACTACATCCACGTCCTGGGTAAGACGATAAACTACGTCCAGCAGCAAGGCCTCTCATCAGGAGGCTTTCAGGAGCGTGGAACCACCTCTTAATTGCTGGTGTTCTCAGGTCCACCCTGACCCGGGGTGGTAGCACCTGTTAGGGTCCCAACTATGGGCAAATAGTTAACCTCGAAACTGGGGTAAAAACACTATGAAAGTGTAAAAATAGGTTTTAATATGAGAAATACTTTAAAAAATTATTACCAGCAATACATTTTTGAGAAAAAATATTACCAACAATGTTTTTTTTTAAAAATAAATATTACCAGCAATACATTTTTGAAGTATAAACATTACCAGAAATATATTTTTGACAAAACAAAATATTACCAGCAATAAAAATTTTGTCAGCATTAAATAACCCATTTAGGTTGATATGCCGTAAAACAAACCAAACCAAATCAAACCGAAACAAACCAAACCAAATCAAACCGAAACAAACCGAACCAAATCAAACCGAAACAAACCAAACCAAATCAAACCGAAACAAACCAAACCAAATCAAACCGAAACAAACCAAGCAAAACATAGGTTTAAATTACATCTAAAAATGTAACAGAAGAAATTTTTTCAGATTGTAACTGTTCGCCGACTTGTACTATAGGCTCCGATGATTGAAGGAAAGGGGTTAAACCAAGCACCTCTTGTACCGATTTAAAAAAAAAAAATTCGGTGAAGCTCATTTACATACTTCTGTAGTTATATCATTTTTAATTGGTACAATCACACAAGTAAAAACTTATGGGAAGGTAGGTATATATAGCATTATAGTAATTAATCGAGTCTAGAAAAATCCTCAACAGAATGCAGAAAGCACTGGGTGGCCGTTTCGTACGATTTGGGGACTCATCAGCAGTGCGCATCCACTACCAAGATTCGAACCCGTATCGTTTCGATACAACCAACTGTACCAACGGGCCTTGGTGACGAAGAAAAAACTGAATAGACTCAATATAGCGTCGCTACTCACAAATTCCATAGTGATACTCATCCAAGTATTCACACACACACATATATATATATATATATATATATATATATATATATATATATATATATATATATATATATCTATCGGGGTTGAATAAGACTGGCATAGTTTTCGTTGGTTGAAATAAATCCATCCCACATATAAGGTCATTTTGGATTTTGTTGTGTAATAATATTTATATGCTTCGTTATAATAAATATATTGAGCTTTTTTTGTGGATGAGTTTTAATATTTTCTATTACTAGGATCCACTTGGATTATATACCAACGGATTTATTACCTGTATATATATATATATATATATATATATATATATATATATATATATATATATATATATGCTGCGTTTTGTCTAGCATCGCGAAACCTGTGAGAAAATTGTTGCAACGATTTATGGTAATTCACTGGATGGACATTTTTTTTCTTCCCTTCAATACGTGCCACATTTATGTGTGTATTCGCTCGCGCGCACACATGTACACACATATTTGATTAATGACTATAGACAAAAATATTTGTTCTTGTTTATTTACATCGGAAAGAAACAAGAAACGTCTAACATCGTAATGAGCACATATATATTCTTAGGCATTATCAATTTAACTATCTGAGTTGTGTAGTATCAGAAGCCGGAAAATACCAAAGACGCAAAATGGTACAGGTATGGCGTAACATTGAAGTCAACACTCAGAGGCGACAGGCTGTTTAATGCTGGATGCAATCGTTTGATATTTATGTTTACATGCGCTCTATCTCTGATATTGAGCACTTTATCCCATAAATATAGCACACCTTATGTTGAGGGGTCCACCCCTTTTTACACTCACCCAGTATATCCATATACTACGGCTACGTGAAGACCCGAGAGAACAAGACCGAAGATTCGAGTCCAGAGTGACAGAGTAAAAGTTTGTAGGTAACCAGAAGAGTAAGGGTGAGGTAACAACGTTGTAGGAGTCACAGTGAGCGAGCACGTAGACTCAGTAAGAAGTCATACAGCGATACTTCAATACCAAAGACTGTATATATATTTTGCTACTAACCCGTATTCCTGGAACTACTAACCTGCTTTACCAGTTTGTATTATTACGTTAAGACATTATTTTCCTATATTCATTCTTGGCGTTTGTTATTTTTTGGTACCGGATTTCAACCCGGAATCCACAACACCTTAAAACTGTATTTCTTCATATATATATATATATATATATATATATATATATATATATATATATATAATGTGTGTGTTTATGCAAAGGCATTCGTTCTGATAAATTATGTCGGTTTGCTCCACGTATTAAGTATTCATTTATTGATTTTTAAACCGTAGGTATTTTGAACACACACACACACACACACACACACACACACACACACACACACACACACACACATATATATATATATATATTGTGAAAATGTTCGATGGGAAATAATGATCTGGGAAGAGAATAATTTGTCAGTAGTTTCTTTTCCATAGTGTCTCACTCTATCACGTATACACGCATTATGCTTATATCTATACAGTCTAATATACCCACTGTATTAATATTGGCCAAATTATATCAATACATATATATTGATGTTGCAATATAAATCTAATCAAAGTGCTCCAACTGAACAGTGCTTTTTCTGCGAGAGGTGGTTACCGAATTGTCTTATACATAGACGACGATTTCGTCTTTTCTTCTAAGGCTGAAACGAATTTAGTAAACGACTACAGTTGTGCACATGTAATATATTAAAACGCTTATATATGGATCAATTCAAGACTTATGCGAGTGGCGTTTTGACACACAACCTTTGTCGATGCTGCATACAGGGGATATAAAGATAAAAACTGCAACGTCGATATTTTCATTTGTATATGCACACCAAGTGACCGATTTAATCTAAAGCCTTCTTTGATGTTTGAGCGAATATTCACCGAACGTATCTCTGCCCGTATATGAACGTAGGTGTACATTAGAAAAGATCTACTGAGTAGCTGTAGTCAAGAACCTCGATTCGGCATCTTCTAGTAATGAAAACATTCTCAACATCAAATATTATTTTCGAAATTAAATAATATATAACTAGAGTTTGACATTTAAAGTGTGTTTGCGCAAATAAGCGTTCGATTTTGATTTGCTTCATTAGCTTTCATACCAAATACCTCCATGTTCTGTAATTAAATAATTATGCAAATTGAGACTTTTATTTAAGGACCTATATATAATTTAAGAGGGACAGGCTGTAGTATACATCTGTGTATGCATATACACATTTGCTCTTATGCATTTTAAATCTATGCTGAAAAGTAAATCTGAGATTTTATGCATACATAAAAGCAATTTACCGATAGCGTTGCAAACAAAAACTGTATGGTATACATTTTGATATGAATGATGGTAAGAGTTTAGGGAGTTTTATTCCCTTCATCAGTTAAAGATTTACAATGTGTTAACTTTCAAGTTCAAATGAAAATGTACAATGCAGGCCTGTGACAATAATAATAATAATAATAAGTGTGTTGAAAAGCTTCCAGTCCGATTCACTGAACAAAATCTGCCTAAACATTGTTTTAGAAGGGTTTTTTGATTGAACCATACATTTGTCAGAAGCCTCTCGTATCTGAGAATTACTACTTGAGAGAAAGAGAAAAAAGAGAGGAAGAGAAAAAAAGAAAGAGCGAGAAAGAGAGAGAAAGAAAGAGAAAGATCGATAAAGGGAGAGAGAAAGAGAGACAGGGAGAAAAAAGCGAAAGAGTGAAAGAAAGAAAAAGGGAAAGAGAGAAGAGAGAAAAAGGGAGAGAGAGAGAAAGAGAAAAAGAGAGAGAGAAAAGAGAAAGAGTGAGAAAAAGAGAAAGAGAGAAAGCGAGAGAAAGAGAAAGATAGAGAAAAGAAAGAGAAGGGAGAAAAAAAGAAAAAGAGAGAAAAAGATAGAAAGAAAGAAATAGAAAGAAAAGAGAGAGAGAGACAAAGAAAAAGAGATAAAGAAGAAAGAAAGAAAGAAAGAGAAAGAAAAGAGAGAGAGAAAGAAAAAAGAGAAAGAAAGAAAAGAGAGAAAGAAAGAAAAGAGAGAAAGAAAAGAGAAAGAGAAAGAAAGAGAGAGAGAAGGAAATAGAGAGAAAAGTGGGATAAAGAGAGAGAAAGAAACATAAAGAAAAATGGAGATTGTTGAAGTTTCATTTATATTATTCGTTACTTTTCAAGAAAGAGAAATTTGGAATATTGGAATCTCTTGGGAAATGTGCCAAAGAAGAATACGTCTTCTTCGATTTTGATTTAATGTGGCCTTGTTTAAGCTATTTTTGACGATCCTCTACAACCTAGTATCTTTAAAAAATTGATCGCCATATGATTTTGTATTGAACACTTCACTGTCAATTAAGGCGAAAGGCCATGAGGCAGAAATCGATAGAATGGTGCCAGTACATTTCTAAAAGACCGTCACCAGCTTGAAATCTGGATGCTGTTTCTGGCAAGAGTTTACAAGAACTATATATTTGAACTCGAATTTGGTAAAATTTGGCTATCAGCCCTTTCCCATAGGCGTTCGTTTCTAAGTCTCAAACATTATACTCAAATTAGAGAATTTTATTTAAGGAAAAAAATAAAAAATAAAAAAATGAAATACTGCATACTTCAAGAAATAGAATTTCTGTGGCGGAAGTACAAAGAGCAATATCTAATCTAAGTGAATTCGTTAATTTTTGGCAAGATTTAACGAAAGCCGAAACTAAAATCTGATTTAAACAATGTGAAATTTAATACTTAAAGGATGTTTGCCAATCGTAAAGGAAAAAAATAAAATCTACTGTGGGATGACGCATGAAACCAACAGAGAAAGGTTACCAAAACTGAAAATCTACCAGTATTTCTTTAATACATTTCATTTGGGTAGTTGCCAAAAATAATTAAATCAATAAATAAATAAAGAGTTATTTATTTTAGCTACTAATATCAAAATATAACTAGTACTTCTCTTTGCATCGAGTAGTACTTCGGCGGAGGGTGGGATACTCAGCTCCAAGTTGATATGAAACCCTTAAAATACATGAAAGATGGAAATTAAGTCAATCAAATCTACCAAGTACTGAACTCACATCAACACGTTTCTGAATATACTGGACTTACTTAAAACATTTATAAGAAGTGACTAATAATTTTCTTTTTTTTTTTTTTTTACTGGAAGAAATATATAAACTCAAACTAATGGTGGGTAACTGAATGACAAAAATTGAAGAATTATTTCGACCTTCACAAAGACAGACTAAAATAATGTCCTTAATGATGAATATATATTATATTTATTTATTATGAGATTAAAACAAAACAAAAAAAAAACGTTAAAAATCACTACACAATAGCTTTCATGTTTAATAATTGAGATAATTGACATCCGTTAAACATGGCACGTGGAACTAGAAGAGTCTACCTCAGTGAGCGAAATAAAGGGTTCAGTTCGACATTCCAACCACCTGAAGAAGGCCGGAGCGCACAATGGCCGAAACGTTGTGATAAATATGGCGACAAAGATGAGGACAATAGTCCGAATAATGTAAATAGTGTATATAGCTAATTGCAGCATATTTTTTTATAGTTGTTAATAAAAAAGCTTCTTTAAGAAACCAGTAAATTCAATTTAAGTTTTTAAAAATAAAAAAAATGTGTAATATGCATACAATATGTTGATAATACATAACTATATTAAATTCCGTATCGTGTAAATTGCTCGAAATCAATCGCTCGAAAAATAATTTCGAACTATCAATTACTCGAAAAATAATTTCGAACTATCAATTACTCGAAAGGCAGATTGCTCGAAATCTCTGATTAAAAAAAACAAACTACATGTTTCTAATATTTACTATAAGGTAAAATAATACAACTTTATTTTTGTTAACTGAACAGTTCAAATTGAAGAACGAGTACATTTATATAGCACGTCTTATTTTTTTCTACATTGCTTATTTGTCATAGTTTAAAATAAAGGGTACATTTTTATTATTACTGTTATTTTTCGTGATTTAAAAAAAATGTTGCTAATATTTACTCTATTATTATTAAACATTATATGCAACACTTAAATATTCTTCAACATTGTTTGTTGTGTCATAGTTTGATACAATGTTCTTTAATCGCATTGCACAGTCACAGTACTTTTTTCTGTTCTCAGCTGCACTCACTCCTCCCACATATTGCTCTATTCGCAATTCTTGTAAACTTTGTTCTCTCTTTAATCCATCAATAAATTGAGTGTTGTGGTTCCTTTTATATACAGCTCCGCTGACGTGTCGTGAGACGGCGCAGTTTATGTGGTGCTTCGAGCTTCGAAATTAATTCGAGCAATCTGCCTTTCGAGCAATTGATAGTTCGAGAAATTATTTTCGAGCAATTGAGCATAGAAGCTGCATAGGAATCATATGTTCTGATTAAAGATCATGAACCGGAATTTGAAACTAAACTTTCTACGAGGATTATCAATCCTACCAAGACTGAAATTGGAACGATTAGGAAGGGTATCTTTGATAAAGTCAAGAATCAGATTAAACAGCAACTTGGAGTTTTACAGTAAACTGGTACCACAGATGTCATCAACTGGTTCAAAGGGATTAATAATAAGATAAACTGTTCTTTCATCCAATTTGATATCGTGGACTTTTACCCATCGATTTCCAAAGACCTTTTTTACCTTTGCTTTGGAGTTTGTCAAAGAATATTCTAATATTTCTAACGATGAACTGGATATAATAATGAACTGCTGAACATCGGTTCTTATTCACAATAATGAAAAGTGGGTTAAAAACAATTCTGATGATCACTTTGATGTTACTATGGGATCATTAGATTCTGCAGAGTCTTCTGACCTGGTGGGTTTATCTATTATATATAATCTGATGGCGTATGATGATGTTAGTGTTGATAATATAATATATAGTAATAATATAGTGATAATAATAAGGGTTATATAGAGACGATGGTCTTATGTTAGTAAAAAAAATCTACTAATTTGACAAATTAAGAAAAATGATACATAGAAAATTATCTGAAATTTAAAATCACTACTAATGTTAAACAGGTAGATTTTCTGAATGTTACGTTAGATATTGTGAATGATGTATTCCAACCTTATATGAAAGGGAATGCCAAACAAATATATATTCACACGAACCCTAACCATCCTCCATCTGTAATTAAACATGTACTCTCCTCTAAAAAAAGGATTAGCAATAACTATTTTAACGAAATATATATATATATATATATATATATATGTGTGTGTGTGTGTGTGTGTGTGTGTTGTAGTGTCTGTAAACACCTTTTTCCGTTCCCATACCAGCCAAGAACCTCCTACCAACAGAATATCTTTCTGTTATCAACGAACAGATTGGGACTAGTTTCGTGTGTTCCCTTGAAATGCAGTTTTTAATCATCCTGTTCATAAATGCGCGTCTGAGGTCTTCTCCTGGGTGAAATCCGGTATCAAAGCTTTCACTCCAGCAAGGAAATACCAAGTTAAACTGCATTCATTTCCATTGTTTTCATTTGCTGGCGTGGCCGTTATAGCCCACAGAAATCACTTCTTCCGCCTGTACAATAGCGGCACGTCTGATTTTGTCTCTGCTCATAACGAGTGTGAGCGCGTCCTTAATGTAGCGAAGTTACTGTTTTCTGATAAAATGAATCAACGTGTAGCATCTTTCAAATTCGGCTCTAGAGATTATTGGTGGCTCTTCAAGTGTGCGCGGAACAACAGGAAATCATCAATCCCTCTATTCTATCAATTCGATGATCTGATATGTATAGTAGATACAGTTGAATGCTTTGCTCGGAAATTCTCTTCTAACTCAACAATCGTTGGAGTACTGACATCTGATTTCCACCCCAGAACAAAGGCTCTACAGAGTAATATGCGCACAACCTCGTCAGAGGTCTCAGACATTTCTAAATTAGACTCCCATAAGGCTAGCAAGCATGACGGAATCCCAGGCATCATTCTAAAGAAATGTGCTCCCGAGCTGGCTCCAGATCCCTCCAAACTCTACAACAATTGTCTCACTGCTTCCTGCTTTCCTACTTGTTGGAAGTCCTTCTCTGTAGTTCCTGTTTTTAAGTACTCTAAACCTCCTGGCCCGTCTAACTATTACCTTATTAGTCTTCTCCCGCTTTTCGGTAAAGTATTCGGGGCTTTAATCAATGCTGAAGTGGTTAAGTATCTTATCCCTCCCGACATACTCTCTGCCAAACAATATGGCTTCCATACCGCTGATGTGCTAACGGCCATCACGGAACATATATATCAAGCTCTTGATAATAACAGCGAAGCTCGAACTATGGCTCTAGACATATTGCGGGCGTTTGGCAGGGTTTGCACGCTGGTCTTCTATGTAAGTGTTATAGTGGAACACACATATTCTATCGTTAATAGACTCTCCCACCTATAATAAGTAGGAGTAGTAAGAGTAACAAGTGAGTCGGAGAGTTGGTCTGTCAGTCGATGTCGGACGACCGTTAGTCGGATATTAAAGTATCAGCCACCCCAACTAGATTACTGCGTCATTCCCTATTATATGAAGTTCCTGACGTTTTGTACGTCGAACCTATTTTAGGACCGACTTAGTACAAATACAAGCCTCCACTGTGAAACCACTACATAACAGTAAAAAGTAAGTTTCCTTGCTTCCCTGATAACTACAATCTCCCAAAATTTAAATGTAACATTTGTCGCCATTTTCTATCTTCTTGAATCCCCTTCAGTTTTTATCCTTTCCTGGTCACCCTCTATATTCAGTCTTTTCACTCTCTGTAACACCCTGCGTACTAGTGACATTCGGTGAAATGATTATTTACACACACACAACAATATATATATATATATATATATATATATATATATATATATAATTCTATTAACAAGAACATTATTTTAGTCAGATGGAGTTATTTGAAAGATGAAACGCGTTTCATAGTTTTTTTTCTTTCAATTTTATCATCTATCTCCCGCTAAGCTAAGACTAAAATAGGACTACATGCAGAAAGACACGCGTCAAACTTGTATGGAGAAAAGATGTATATCTAGAAAATCAACATTCGAAATACAGGCTTTAACTGGGGTGGAACAGTATTGATCCTTATAAAAATTAAAAGAAGTCTTA